GAGCTCACTTTCCACTGGTCCGCGACCCCTACCCATTATCGGAAACCAACATCTCCTCCGCCCAATACCTCATCAAGCTCTTCACAAACTATCCTTAACCTATGGACCCTTAATGTGTGTCTTCTTTGGCTCAAAACTTTGTGTTGTTGTCTCCTCTCCGGAAATCGCTCAAGAAGTCCTCAAAACCAATGAATTTCTTTTCTTGAACCGGCCGAAAAATGCCAGCATCGACTACCTTACATACGGTTCATCTGATTTAACAAGGGCGCCTTATGGACCTTTGTGGAAGTTCATGAAAAAGATTTGCATGTCTGAGCTTCTCAACGGTCAAACAGTAGAGCAGTTTCAACCAATTAGACAGGAGGAGGTGAACCATTTTCTGCAGCTAGTATTTAATAAAGCCAAAGCAGGTGAGACATTTGATGTAAGAACAGGGATTTTGAGGCTGACAAGTAATATAATTTCGAGGATGGCGTGCAGCAATGACAAGACTTATGAGATGAGGAAATTAATTGGAGAGATGAATGAACTTGTTGGAACAGGTAGTTTATTAGATTTAATTTGGTTTGTTAAGAATCTGGATTTGCAGGGAATGCGTAAAAGACTCAAGAATGCTCGTGATCGCTACAACATCGTGATGGAAGATATTATAAAGGAGTGTGAAGAGGTGAAGGGAAAAAGGAAGGAGTCCTTCAAAGGAAATAACCCAACAAAAGTTATACTTCAAAGCTTGCTTGATATTTATGAAGATCCGAGCTCAGAGATTAAACTGACAAGAGAAAATGTTAAGGCTTTAATGATGGTAAAAGAAAATCTTTCATGCACACACATGAATTATAGACTTGGATGCCACTTGGTTTAGTTTCTCATTTATTTAAAATATCTTAATTCTAACTATTACGGGGTGATTTTTATGTTTGAACTATTCCAATTTGAAATTTTCACATAAAAGTTCAAAGAGAGGGTAGGAATAGCTCAAATACAAGAAATCATCATGTAATAACAAATATTAATAGTATAACTAAAAAGTTAGAACTAGAAAGTAGTTATAAATGAAATGTAAAATGAACTCGACAGAACTGAATAGAGATTCTAGTTTAACTAGCCTGCACCATTAATGCATTAACCTAAGTGGTAAAGCGTCATATTCTTCTCGTAAGAAGTCACGGGTTTGAATCCGTGTACAGTAGTAGTCTATGATTCTAATCTTCATGGGAATAAAACATTTCTGTTTGCATTTTGGTAGAATGTAGTGAGTGACTCTCTCCTCTAACAGAACTTATTATGGAAGAAACAAAGTAAACTAGTTGAATCCCTAATGTATTCATTATTTACAATTTTAGATGTATCT